TTCAAGCCAACTTTTGCACTCTCCTCCTTCACCCGCATCAAGAAGCTCTTTGGTTCCTTTTCACTTTCTGCCATTAGAGTGGTATCATCTGCATATCTGGGGTTGCTGATATTTCTCCTGGTAATCTGAATTCCAACTGGTGATTCATCTAGGCCCGCCTTTCTCATGATGTGCTCTGCATATAAGTTAAATAGGCAGGGCGACAGTACACGGCCTTGCCGAACTCCTTCTCAATTTTGAACCAATCAGTGGTTCTGTGTCCAGTTCTCACTGTTCCTTCTTGACCCGCATACAGGTTTCTCAGGAGACAAATAAGATGGTCTGGTGCTCCCATCTCTTTCAGGACTTGCCACAATTTGTTGTGATCCACACAATCAAAGGCTTTAGCATAGTCAATGAAGCAGAAGTAGATATTAGGGCAACCCTTAGTGGGGAATCATTGGGATGGCGGCCAGTGACGAGCGGGGTCCCCCAGGGCTCTGTCCTGGGGCTGATTCCGTTTAATCTTTTCATCAGTGCCATGGAAGAAGGGGTGAACATCTGCTGATCAATTTCACAGACGATACTAAAACCGGGGCAGTGGCCACAACTGAGGAGCAGGTACTCCAGATCCAAAAGGACCTGGACAGACTATGGAAGTGGGCAGGAGACAACAGGATGGCGTTCAGTGTGGATAAGTGCAAGGTCTTGCCCTTGGGGCATAGGAATGGGTGTCACAAGTACAGGTTAGGGGACAAGTGGCTGGAGAGCAGTGCTTGTGAAAGGGACCTCAGGGTGCTGGTTGACTGCAGGCTAAACATGAGCCAGCCGTGTGATGCGGTGGTCAAGAGGGTGAACGCCACCCTTGGTTGCATAGCCAGAAGTGTGGCTTCTAGATCGGGAGAGGTGTTACTACCACTCTGTACGACTCTGGTGCACCCGCAACTGGAGTATTGTGCTCAGTTTTGGGCCCCTTCTTACAGGAAGGATATAGCCAGGTTGGAATCAGTGCAGCATAGGGCCAAAAGGTTGGTGGCCAGTTCACAGGGGAAGTCGTATGAGGCGAGACTGAGGGAACTGGGTCTCTTCAGCCTGGAGAAGAGAAGACTCGGAGGGGATATGTTGGTGACATACAGGTATGTGAATGGGTGTCACACGGAGGTGGGTAGAGACTGTTTTCCCCTGCAGAGGAAGGCAGAACGCGTTCCAACGGAGCAAAGCTCAGGGAACCAAGGTTCAATTTGGATGCCAGGAAGCACTTCCTAACAGGACCCCGAGGGTGTGGAATGGGCTTCCCCGGGAGGTGGTTGAGGCCCCATCAGTGCGGGTGTTCAGAGATAGGCCTGACATGCACATGGTGGGCATGTCGTGAGCGGAGCCAGGGGCCCGGGAGCGATGGCCCGGGAGACCCCTTCTGACTCGCTCCGTTTCTATGTTTCTATGTTTTTCTGGAACTCCCTAGCTTTCTCCATGATCCAGCATATGTTGGCCATTTGATCTCTAGTTCCTCTGCCTCTTCAAAATCCTGCCTGTACTTTTGGTAGTTCTCGGTCCACATACTGCTGGAGCCTAGCTTGTAGCATTTTGAGTATAACTTTGCTAGTGTGTGAAATGAGTGCAATGGTGCGGTAGTTTGAACACTCTTTGGCATTGCCCTTCTTTGGGATCCGAATGTAAACTGACGTTTTCCAATCCTGTGGCCACTGCTGAGTTTTCCAAATTTGCTGGCATATTGAGTGTAGCACTTTTACTGCATCTTCTTTTAAGATGTTGAATAGCTCGGCTGGAATACTGTCGCCTCCACTAGCTTTGTTGTTGCTCAGACTTCCTAAGGCCCATTTGACTTCACATTCCAGAATGATTGGCTCGAGGTCAGTGACCACCCCATCGTGGTTATCAGGGATGTTAAGCTCTTTCTTGTATAGTTAGTCTGTGTAACCTCTTCTTAATCTCTTCTGCCTCTGTAAGGTCCCTGCCATTTTGGTCCTTTATCATGCCCATCTCTGCATGAAAGGTTCCCTTCATATCTCCAATTTTCTTGAAGAGATCTCTGGTTCTCCCTATTCTATTGTTTTCTTCTATTTCTTTGCACTGTTCATTGAAGAAGGCCTTCTTATCTCTTCCAGCTATTCTCTGGAATTCTGCATTCAATTGGGTGTATCTTTCTCTTTCTCCCTTGCCTTTCGCTTCCCTTCTTTCCTCAGCTATTTGTAAAGCTTCCTCAGACAGCCATTTCGCTTTCTTGCATTTCTTTTTCTTTGGCATGGTTTTAGTTGCTGCCTCTTGTACAATGTTGCGAACCTCCGTCCATAGTTCTTCAGGCACTCTGTCTATCAGATCTAATTCCTTAAATCTATTTGTCACCTCTACTGTATATTCATCAGGGATATGATTTAGGTCATTCCTGAGTGCCCAGTGCTTCTCCTTTCTTTCTTCAATTTAAGCCTAAATTTGGCAACAAGAAGCTTATGATCTGAGCCACAGTCAGCTCCTGGTCTAGTTTTTACTGACTGTATAGAGCTTCTCCATCTATGGCTGCAGAGCACATAATCTGATTTCTGTGTTGACCGTCTGGTGATGTCCATGTGTAGAGTCGTCTCTTGGGTTGCTGGAAAAGAGTGTTTGCTATGACCACCATATTCTCTTGACAGAATTCTACCAGCCTGTGTCCTGCTTCATTTTGTACTCCAAGGCCCAACTTGCCTGTTATTCCGGTTATCTTTCGGCTTCCTACTTCCGCATTCCAATCCCCAGGATGATAAGGACATCCCTTTTTGGTGTTAATACTAGAAGGTGTTGTAGGCCTTCACAGAACCGGTCAGCTTCAGCCTCGTCAGCACCAGTGGTTGGGGCAAAGACTTGGACTACAGTGATGTTGAATGGCTTGCCCTGGATTCGAACTGAGATCATTCTGTCATTGTGGAGACTGAATCCCAGTACTGCTTTTCCTACCCTTTTATTGACTATGAAGGCTACTCCATTTCTTCTGAGGGATTCTTGCCTGCAATAGTACACCTGATGGTCATCTGAACTAAATTCACCCATTCCTGTCCATTGTAGTTCACAGATTCCTACGATGTCGATGTTCAGGCTTGTCATCTCTTGTTTGACCACACCCAGCTTGCCGTGATTCATGGATCTTACACTCCGGGTTCCTGTGGAGTATAGATCTTCGCAGCATCGGACTCTCCTTTCACCACCAGATACATCCGCAACTGAGTGTCCCTTCGGCTTTGACCCAGTCGCTTCCTTCTTTCTGGCACTACGAGTACTAGCCCTCTGCGCGTCCCCAGTAGCACATTGGACACCTTCCGACCTGAGGGGCTCATCTTCCGGCGTCATATCTGTTTGCCTATTGGTACTGTCCTGGGAGTTTTGATGGCAAAGATACTGGAGTGGGTTGCCATTTCCTTCTCCAGGGGATCACGTTTTGTCAGAGCTCTCTGCTGTGACCGGTCCGTCTTGGGTGGCCATGCACGGCACAGCTCAGAGCTTCATAGCGCTACGCAAGCCCCTTCGCCACAACAAGGCAGTGATCCATGAAGGGGCCTTCTACTATACATCTCATTTTAAAAGCCTCTCCCAATTTTTTTTAATCCTATAGAGAGCTCAAAAAGTACTGGACTAGATCCTCTAACTCTTGCCTTTTTTAGCTTTTAAAAAAATAATTGTGGGGTATTAAAATGGTTGCTCCCACCCTGGGGCTGAAGCTAGACAAGCTTGTTAGGTCACTTTGCCATCCTGGATAAAGCTCAACACAAACCTGCCTGCTGAGCTTGAGGAAGTTGTGAAGTGGGTGCTCCTGGCTTGAGCTGGAGAGCAAGAATAACAAACAGTTCCTTTGTTTCTGTTTTTTTGAGGTTGCTTTGGGAAAGGTTAGCAGGATTACTCAGAGAGTTCTGGACAGTTTGGAATATGACTGTGGTTTGCAGACATGCGATGTCTAACGATCCTGTCGCCACCGACTAATGAACCCTCGCCATGGTTATAACCCCGTCGCTTCTCCTCAGCGGATGTTTTCTAACTCAGTGCTTTAAAGCGCCTCATCAAATCCTCCCCTTCTGGGGCAGAAGAAACGGTCTCCTCTGCTCCTGATGCCTTTGGAGCTACAGCAACCGGGACTGTTCAGCTTAGACAAAAGGCGAGGGAGGGGAGAAGGACAGAGGGGTGTAAAATCATGCACGGTGTGGGGAAAGTGGCGAGGGAGACCCTCTTCTCCCCCTCTGGGGTCATCCCGTGAAGCTGCTCGGTGGGAGGTTTAGGACAGCTCAAAGGAAGGCCTTCTTCACGCAGCGTGGAGTTGATTTGTGGAGCCGGCTGCCACAGGACGTGGGGGGGCCGCCCACCTAGACGGCTCGCGAAGGGGACTGGACTGAGGCACGGAGGGGAAGCGACTTGTGGCCGCCAGCCTTGCTGCCCTGTGCCTTCTCCTTTACCGCAGGCACAGCTCGGAGGAGCTGGCCAGGGGGTCTCGCACCCGTCCTCTGGCGGACCCTGCGGGCGGCTGGCTGGCTGCCACCCTCGATGGAGTGAGTGCCCGACGAGTCGGGCCCTTGGCCTGATCCAGCGGGGCTTTCCTCACGCTCTTACCACCCAGTCTCAGCTGCAACCAGGCTGCTAAATCCCACTGGCTTGCCGAGACTCTGCTGTGCTTTTGCCTTATTAAGTGGGCAAGGGGACCCAGGCTGCAGGCACTCTCCAGTTCCAGGGAGGCCCGTGGCTTGGCCGGAGCGTCCTGTGGGTGAAAACCTGCCAGCTCAAGGCAATAGCTGCAAACTCCCAAGTCATAAACTGGACCGTGCATTCATTTCCTCAAAGAAATGCTCCGGTTTACCCCATACTATAAGCAGGCAGCTGAGTTTCATCACTGCTGCTTTCCTTCAGCCTTGTCCCTACTGGAGTTCTCAGAGCAAGCATGCATCACGCGGCCCACAAGCAAATTTAGCAGGTTCCACGATCCAGAGCAACTTCTGAGGAATCTGAAGGAAAGGAGGTGCTTTGCAAGCAACACCCTCTGCTCTGCAAAACTAACACGTGGTGATGGAGCACTTTGACTAAACGGTCTTTGCACTGAACAGAAGCACAGAAAAATGCGTGGATGGTGAGCTGGATGATGTTCACCTTTGCATTAACATACTATAAATAAAAAGGTAGGGCCGAGGAACATTCCATTAATCACATTTTGGGAAAGCCACCCTTTCATTTGAAGAAAAAGGAGCGACACCGCCTCCACCTGGTCCTGTACTTGCAAATGGGAGGGCTGTGCTGGCGTCCTGCCCAAAACCTCCCACAGCTGCTGTTCGGAGCAAACAGGGCCAATGAGCAGCTGGGGAAATTGGGTTCAGACACCAGTGTCAGCTCCCCTCCAAAACTAGAAGATATTGCTGTTGGGGCCACTCCTTTTCACAAGCAAAGATCACTTTGGTTTCTTTTGACAGCTTACTTTTAGACAGCTGTCAAGTGAAAGCAAAATGAAAAATAAAGCTCTTTGCAGCCTCAGCAGTCGGTGGACAGCGGATGAAATCCAGGACCTTCCACAGGGAAGGCCTGCCCTTTCAGACCCACCCAAGAGCCTGCTTCAGCAAGCCCAACAAAAAAGACTAATTTCAGAATGTTAGACTGCAAAATTCCAGGCAGGGATTGACTTGCTTTTTCTGAATTGTCTTTAAGCCACTTGGCTTGAGTGTTTTTTCTGGCAGAGTAAGGATGCTTTAAAGGAGTAAAATAAATCATAAACAAACAGCAGCGATGCAAAAGCCCAAGATACTAACCTCGCTGTCTTCCGCAGGGGGTGGAGGCAGCTCCTTAATAATCTGGAAAGATAAGATGGAAGGAAAGTTGCATTCAGAACCACTCGACCAGGGCATATGTTGAGCCTGGTCTCATCCCCAGCGCTCACTTCTCATCTCCACCAAGAAGCCACCATTCCCGCTTACCCACCTGAGAAACGAACTAGGATGTGGATGCAACCCTGGTTCACACAACCTCCAGAGCTGCATCCGCATCGTTTGTTGCATGCAATCCACGCGATCCAGAGACTTTTAGTATTGGGACGGCATATACAAACTTTAAATAAAATAAAATAAAAATAAATGAATAAATCCAAACATGGCAAGGACGACTTCTGTGAAGCATCTCCCAGAACCCGAGGGCTCTTTTTGGGCCAGGATGGTTTGTGAAGCACAAGAAGCTAGGCTTGGCCATCACAAACATCCACACACCTGCCCACACAGTGTCAGTATTCACAACGGCTACCAGCACATACAGCAAGCCCCCTCGCTTTAAAGTAACCCCTGAGGGCCACAGCAATCGGCCTTTTTTTTGTAGCACACAACACGCAGCACACAAAGTATCCTGCGATAAGCCACATTCTCTTGACTGGTCTCAACACAATTAACCCAAGTTCAGGGGTTGAGTATGGCTTGTTGTCTGGTTATGAACTGTGGGTTAATAGCTCGGCTGGGTTCAGACAACGCAGTAGCCCATATTATAGAAACAACTCATGATCCAACAACACCCCGCATTCAACCCCTGCTCAGCCTCTGAGCGTGGAGTACTGGGGTATGTGAACTCAGCCATGCCTCCCTCCTTATCTCTCCGACACACCACCACATATTGGCAATGCAAGGAGAGTGGCATCCTTACAAGGATCATGGAAACAAGGGGAAGCGCTTTGCATGCTGGGACACACCAGGACAGATGCTCAGGACCAACAGGGAAGAGACGTTCTCTGCCAAAGATGGTGGTCCGGAGCACACCCACCTGAGAAACGGAAAGGCAGGTGAGAGAGAGGGCCTGCAGAGCACTGTGGTTCGAGGGTGAACTGGGACCAGGGGGATCCAAGTTCCAGGCCTGCTCAGCCACGAGGACCTTTGGCCACAGATCCATCCTCTCTCTCTCTGCACCGAACTGCAGGACCCATTGCCACATCGGGCCAATTTTCGCACAAGTTTCTGCTTTCCTCTCACCCCTTTGGTTCCACCTGCCCTGAGGAGGAATCCTGCAAGTTCGCACGTGCTTGTGGCATTTTCCTGGTCCTAATAAAAGCACGGCCCAACTGAGGTTCGTAGATTCTTTTCCTGTATGGATCGGCACAGCTAGCTTTATTTTTGTACCTCCCTCACAGGGGGGCTGCACAAGCCACTTAGGAAAGGCCACCTGGGCTCTTGCGCAGGCAGGTGGGAAATCTGTTGCATGACACCTGCAGCTCCGGAGCCCACCCTGCACCTGAGCTGCTCAGTCACGCAATCTCCAGGTGAGGCAGATGGGAAATGCAGGTGCTCTTCCCAACTGGCTCCCTCGTTTTAGGCGGAATGGGTGCATCTTTCCATGTGCGCTTGTGAACATTAAAACAAAAAAAGCAATGCATTTGGGAGGTCCCTTCTTTGGCATTCCTGAAAACGAACAGGAATTTGAATGAGGCTCCTCTGGAAAGGGGCCGGTGTCTTCACCACGGAGACCATCTCTGAGTCAATGCGGAGGTGTGGCTATTTCTCACAAAAATGTGCACCTAAAACCGAGCAAGCGGCTGGCAAGCCCTGCAGCCGCGCTCTCCAAGAGCAGCAAAGAGACGTCCAGCAGGAAAGCTAAAGACAGGCAGGACAGCTCTCCCACCTGCAGGCCCCGCAGCCCTCCTTCCTGGACGAATAACTGAGCCAGGTGAGTGGAAATACGAGGCTGGATTCTCACATCGTTGCACCTTTCAGTCCCACCTCTGTGCCTACGCACCCACGCGGGCGAGCGCTGGCTTGTCTGCCCAGGCCCGGGGCAAGCCCGCTCCTCAGCATTGCCAGGCAGGGCTCCAGTGGACAGAATGGGCCAGAACGGACAGGTGCCCCTTTCCTTTCAAGAGGCCTCGCACGTTGCATTCCGAAATAGCAGAGCGGCCTGTGCAAAGAGCCCTGCGCAGACCAGTCCGACGTTCCTGGACACGCCGTGGCTTCTTCCCTCGCAGGCACCACCGCTGCGAGCCTGAGAGTGCGAGGGGCGTAGGGAAGGCTCTCCTCTTCACTTCCACCGTCGCATTCATGCGTGGGCAGAACAGGCAACGCGCAAGAGCGGCGAGGGGAAGAGGCGGAAGAGCACAGACTCAAAGAATCACGGAACAGAAGAACTGGAAGGGGCCATGAAGGCCAGCGAGTCCAAGCCCCTGCTGTTGCAGGACACCAAGTCACACCACCCCACAGGGCCAAGGAGCTCCTGAGAGCGATCATGCCCCATTCAGACCAACAATTCCATCCTTTTTTTCTCAACTTGCAAGTTACAGATGAAGCATGTGATTTTTCCTCAAGGCTGCCTGTGCTTTTCAAAAAATGTGTCCCAGAATTTAACCCTGAAGCTTGCATGGCTTCATGTACTTTGCCAGTGTGAGCAATTCCATGTGCATTGCTTATTTTGCTGTTTCAGCACCGAAATCTAGCAAGGGCCAGCCAGATGACTCTGTTACCTTGGAAGTAAATCTTACTCTGGGGTAAACATGCTGCCTCTTTGGCTCCTGATGGATCCCGCCCCCCGCCGGAAACCTGATGTGACCCCACCCTGGAGGCTTCTCCAAGGAAGGCAGGTGGAGGTTTTATGCTTTCAGGCCTGACTTCTGGCCAGCAGCTTCTCGGGGAACAGAATCTTATTCCCAAACCCGCACCCTTTTGCACCTCTTCTCCGCCCTCGGTACAAACGTCTTAGGTGGCGTCAGCATGGCTGCTGCCACCGCACCTGCGAGAGGGCTGCTGTAAGAATGAGGGCCTTGCCGCCAGCCCCCTCCGGAAACAAAGGGCAACAGCAGCAGCAGCAGCAGCAGCAGCAGCAGCTACGGTTCTGCTCTGGACGCTTGTGTTCTACTGAATTAACACTATCTGGAAGATACAGGTCAGGAATCATTCCTGGAAGCTGGTGACAGAGGAAGTGCTGTCCTTTTCTGCTCGTCTGAAGAAGTCTCTGTAAGAAGAGGATGGGCCGTACCACCAGTGCAGGCCATTCAACATTCATTTATGGCGTTCCTGCCACGAGCTGAGATGGCTACAGAAGTGAGGAGCAAAGCGTTTCATCGGATTTTGGAGAACTTCAAGGCTCAGAGGTGGTTACCTCTCGACATTCACCCCCAGGTTCCGGCCTTCCTGGAGGCACCTCGGCTAAGGAGAAGGATGTTGAACTGGGTGATAGTTGGTCTAATCCAGCAAGTTCAGAAAGAGGTCTCGCCAACTTCTCACATGCTTCTTGGGGATTCCTCTTCTGATGAACAAGTCCATGTTCTGGACCACGATGGTTACACTCTTAATGTTCAGGCGACACGCCAGCTTTGCTTACTAACATGGGCTACCTCATGCTCATCCTTTCTCTGAAGGGAATGGAGAATAAAGCCAGGCATTTTCTTCTCCTCTTTGTTTCTTCGTTTCCAGTGCTCAATAACAGGAGCGACAACTATAGCTCTGTGATGTATGTGAGAAGAAGCCCAGCCTCTGACGAGATGTCAAGAGGGTCAGATCCGGCAGGCGCTGCCCCACGCTCACTGTCTCACCCGTTCAGCTTCAGTGCAGAGAGGTGAAGACCATTTTCAGAAACAAAAACATACTGAAAACAAAACACGGCTAAAGATCCAAGGAACGCGGTGCTCGTCTAGGATGCAGCGGGGCCATAATCCAGGAATGCTCTCATGTTGCATTTCGGTGAGATTCGTTTTTAAGGCAGTTTGCACAGGAAAAACCTCTGAATCTGAAGTTCTAATTCCACGGGGAACATTTTGCGCAGATTATTTCTTGCTGCTTCCATCCTTTTTTACTTCATTTATTTATTTGGACGCTCCTTGGTTTGTTTTACTTCTGGCAGCGGGCCACAGAATGAGGCTGCTCTCGGCCTCCCCCGTTCGCGTGGACGGCTGCTGCTTGGGCGAGTGGAGTCAGGGGCGAGCAAGCCATGGCCCTACCGCGCCCGCCGCTTGGCTGCCTGGGCAGAGCGGCAGCAGCACCAGCCGGCCCGAGGGCCTCTTTCCGCAGCGTGGGGCCTCGGCAGGAGTCCCCCCTTCCCCAGGCTTGTGTATGCACTTGGAGCCTGACTCCAGGCAGCAGGGGAACACCCGGGCTTACTGGGGGCCATGCAGGGGCGGCCTGGATCAGGGCCCCGGGGAGGGAGCGTTAACCCTTTGCTCCCATGCCGCTCTCTTGCCACAGACACCCCACGCATGGCAATTAACTGAGCAAACAGCCCCCACGGGCACAGCTAAACTCGGGGGATTTCCTGGTCCCACCTAAGGGGGCGCTGCCGTCCTGGCTGTGCCACCTCCGATGGCCTGGCCCCGGCTCACACACCCCGGCTGGCTCTCCCCACGGCATCGCCTCGCCAGCAGCAGTGGGGAGCGTGTGGCTGCCTCAGCGATTCGCCAGCTTGTCTATTTAGTGCTTTTGTGTGCCGTCTCTCTAGACGGTGTACAGAATGAACACAGTGATGCCACACTGCAATTCCCATCCACCCTACCCAGCACAGCTAAGGGTGCGGGAAGATGTGAGCTGGAGCCCAGTAGCTTCTAGGGGACCAGGCACTCCCCACCGCTGCACGGCAGGCATGTGTGAAGAAGATGGTCGGCAGTTTGGCAGGAAGCTGGAAGTAACTGGAGGCGGCCTCACTTTTGCCTGGAGTCTTGCTCCACTCTTGCTCCTGGTCCAACAGATGTTACAGGTTTTAGGAGCGATGCAAACGTGTGCCAGATTTGTTTTCCCACCGTGAATGGCCAACACCCTTTCAAACGACCTCCAAGTCTCTGGGAAAATAATCATCTCTCTCCAGCCAAAAGTTACAACCCCCAAATGCAGCAGATGATTGCTCGGGGCTTGGAGGAGGAGGGGCAAGAGGGCTCGCCTCCCGGCCAACATGTTAGCCGTCTATGTTCAGGGAAACGTATTTGTATGCGTCCACAGAAGAAACGCTCTGCTGTGCACCTGGAGGTGGCTGCGGGACGGGCTGATCATCTCACCTGAAAGAACCGGCCGAAGCGTGTGCCCCAGGCAGCCATTGTGCTGGAGGCAGTTTCTGGGACTCTCCGAGCCGCAGCCGTAGGGAACGGGAGAGCTTCGACGGGGCTTGCTGGACCACGCGGCTTCCTGGCTGCTTGAGGGAAGCGCCTTGGGCAGAGAAGGGGTGGCAAAAGAGCTGTCGACATGGGGATGCGTGCGGGGGGCGGGGGAGACTTACCACGGTACAGCAGAGCGGCCAGAACCACCACAAGAGCGCCAACGCCAGCAGGAGGAAGAGGATCAGCAGGGCGATGGCCAGAATGGTCCCATCAGACTGGAAAGGGAAGGCACAAGAGAATCGGGTCATGCGGTACCACGGGAGTTCTGGGCGAGGCCTGAGGATGTCCGGGCCGAGACCCCTGCTGCACATGGCGCCGACTAAGGCCAGGCTCACTCTCTCCCTTAGCCTAACCTGCTCACTGAAAGAGCCAAGATGGAGGTGAAACCATGGACTCCAGCATGGCTTATCTGAAAAGCACTACTAAAGCTACCACATGTTCCGTCCCCATGGAAGCACCTGCTTGGGCAGCCCAGAAGGCGAATCTGCAGAGCCCATGGGATGTCACAGTGCGGGTACAGAACCAGAATCACGAGCTGGGGAAGGTCCCTTTGACCCGTCCTTCATCAAACATTGGCTTCCTTCAGACTGTGCTGCCTTTTTGGGAAAAACCCCCAGTGGGTACCCTCCTTGGCCAGTTGGCCCTCCTGGCCCGGCAAATTGCATTCTGGTTCCATCAACCCGAAAACCAACGTTGGGTCAAGCAAGGACTGCAAGCCAGGACGAAAGCCTGGTTTGAAATCCTGGCCCTCGAGGGCGAACAAACCTTCGATCCAACAGGGATGTTCGTCAATAAGCCACCCCCTCACAGAGAAGCACCCCGGCCGACTCCCGAGCCTGTCACTCACGGCTGGGAAGCTCACCCGAATGGCAGCCCCTGGCTCTCCCTAGCAACCCATCCCTAACCATTCTCCATAAAATCCATAAAATGACCTGAAAATGAATTAGCTCGTATTGCTTCCCAATTTAATCTCAAGTATAGACTATTTGCTTCCAGAAACCAGCTAATATTTCGGAGCCATTCCACACTGGTGTCATCAGGCACTTGGGATCCGCTTGCAGGCAAAATTAGGTTTGGCTTGCGTTCAACTAGGCGGCTTTGGTTTTACAGAGCCAGACAGTTAAAAAAACAAAACAAGGGGAGAGGGCCTCAGATGGCCGCGTTCGTAAACTCCTTCTGGCGTAAGGTAGCGCTCGGGAGCTTTGCCGATCCACAGCTGGGACGGGGCGGGGGGCACCGTTCAGGTTCACCCATGCACTCAAGCCGACTCCTCCACACCTGCAAGCCGGAAGGCCTGCTCTGCACGTCACATTACGCCAGGCGCCGCAACGAACTGGGGCGGCTTGTGCGCCCCGTCAGCCCCTCCCTGTCCATCAGAGCGGTCTCCATCGCCTCCGGCTCCACGGCTCCACGCTGCGATTAGCGGGGGGCACCGCTGGCCAGTCCACCTCGGCCCAGGAGCTAGTGCAAAAGCGGGGCTCCCCACCGGGACACACAAGCGACGGCTGGCTGCAAAGGGGAGACCGAGGCAGCACCCCCTTCCTCAAGCTAGGCCACTTGCACCGGGGTTACAGCCGACTGCTCGCTCTTTGAGAGTGCGAACCAAAGTGGGGAGTGAACGGACCACAGCTTCTGTGGGGCGATGCCCGCAGGGTACCTGACGCTGGAGGTGAAGACAGGGACTTCCGCATGCAAAGCAGCGGGCTCGTCCACCGAGAACGCGCCAGCACATTGCACTGGAAATAGCGGCGGAAACCGCGGGCTGAAATCCGTCTCTGCAGCGCTCAGAGCAATAGCTACGCCGTGGCTGAGTGGCAGGGCTGCCGTTCTGCGAGCAGAAGGGCTGGGCCAGCCCCGGCATCTCCAGCCCGGGCTGCCAAAACCCAGTGCCCGGGTCCCTGGGTGGAGGCTTCTGGGCAGCATAAACAAACTCCACTGCATTGAGACAAGATGGGGAGCACATGGCCCACCGGAACTGAAGAAGAAAAGATCTCAGCGTAACTGCGGACAAGAGGCTGAACATGAGCCAACAATGCGATGCAGCCGCCAGAAGGGCAAATGCCCTTTTGGGATGCATTAACAGAAGTATCACTTCCAAATCGCGAGAAGTAGTAGTTCCTCTATACTCCTCACTAGTCAGACCTCACCTGGAATCCTGTGTCCAGTTCTGGGCACCAAGATTCAAGAAAGATGCAGAAAGATTAGAAAGGCTCCAGAGGAGGGCAACAAAAATGATCCGGGGTTTGAAAACACTGTCCTGTGAGGAGAGACTGGGGGAACTGGGCAGGTTTAGCCTTGGGAGGAGCAGACTGAGGGGGGATGTGGTATTCCTCTAGAAGTAGCTCAAAGGGTGACACAAAGAGGGAGGTCAAGGTCTCTTCCTGGTGATGCCCGAGTGCAGGACACGGAAGCACCAGTTCAAGCTGCGACAGCCCAGATTCAGGCCGGGCATCAGGAAAAGCTTCCTCGCTGTCAGAGCACCACGGCAGTGGGACCGGCTGCCCGGAGAGGTGGGGGCTCCCCCACACTGGGGACATTCAAGGGGAAACTGGGCAGCCCTCTGGGTGGGGTGGGGTGACTGGGTGCCCTGCAGCAGCAGGGGGTGGACCGGATGGCCTTCCTGACCCCTTCCAACTCTGCTCTTCTGTGATTCTAAGAGTGAATGCAGGCTTGAGTGGGCCGCTCTCAACTCCCCCAGGAAAGGTGGCGCCCAGGCAGCTTTCCAGATCAGTCCCTTCAGAATAATTAGACGAAAACCCTCTGTGCCTGTGACTGATGGCATCCTCTGATGCGCACCTTCTGAGGAGTAACCCTGCGTGAATGCAGCAACTCGCTCCAGGTGAGGACTCGCAGGATTGCAGCGTGAAACACAGCACAGCGCCGGGGTGGCGTAGTGGTTAGAGCGTGGGACTGGGACTCAGGCGACCTGGGTTCAAGTCCCCGCTCGGCCATGGGGCCCACTGGGTGGCTCTGAGCCAGGCACAGACGCTCAGCCCAGCCTGCCTCACAGGGTTGTTGTTGTGGGGACAAGATGGAGGAAGAGAATGAGGTAAGCTGCCTTGAGCCCTTGGTAGGAAAAAGGCAGGGTATAAATCGGAAAATAAAAAATAAAGCAAAATAACTTCCTGTGGCCTTCCCTCAACGTATCTGGAAAACAAATGCTTTACAGCTGCCAAGAGCTCCCCCCTCCTTGCTTAATCTTCTTTTCTCTAGGCTAAACATGTGCAGTTCCTTACGCCTGTTCTTCTAGACTATTTATCATCCCTGTAGGTCTCCTCTGAATACTTTCCAACTTATCAACATTCTCCTAGAACCATTGTGTTCAGAGGAGAAACTCCAGATGAGGAAAGCACATCTGTCCCCTTCTTTGCGAGCACTTCTGTGACCAGAATCTGAACAGGCGAACAGCCTGCGTAAGCGCTGGAGTCGCGAAGGCAGGATGCAGCCGAGGACGGGAAAGCCCAGCGCTGCGCTCCTTACTCTGCTTGCCAGATTGGGCTCGCATGCAGTAAATGGCAGGCTGCACGGATCTTGGCTCCAGCGTCGAAAGGTTTTGCTCATTGACGAGTGCCAAGTCCCTGCCATTATGAAAAAGAGGCTTTTCTAACATTTTGAAAAATAACTCTTACCTTTAGACAAACTTTGGGAATTTTCAGAAAGAACCCTGCTTGATACCGTGTGCCACACTGGCTTGCACCCCAGGTGGCCAGATGCTTGTAAGCAACTCTGTGGCACTCATTCAAGCTAAAGATCTTAGGTTACTGCAAACCTTGAAGTCCCTTACCTGAACACAGGTCAAGAGGGCTAGACTCATGAAGATTCGTAACTTTCTGAAATATGACTCGCAAGAAGATGACTGATCCTCCATTGCGACCATTCGCTTCCCCTTTGAAAGAATGAGTGATGGCACTACGGTAACGCTGCATGAGGAATCCCATTGACCTAAGGGCCAGGAAGGTGTAATGAAACAAAGAAACATAGGCCCAGAGCGAGGCAGAAGGGGCCTCCCGGGCCATCTAGTCTGACCCCCGGCTCCAGTCGACTCCGCTCACGACATGCCCACCATGTGCACGTCCAGCCTGTCCTTGAGCACCCTCTCCGATGGGGCCGGAGCCGCCTCCCGTGGAGGCCCATTCCACATCCTCGGGGTCCCAACTGTCAGGAAGGGCTTCCTGGCATCCAAATGGAGCCTGGGTTCCCTGAGCTTGGTCCCGAATGGCTGGCATCGGACTGGGGAGATCTAAGCCATGCCAAGCTGGTTGGCTGACTCGCGGCCTTCCAGCCTGCCCTACCTGGCATGAGAGGATGGCGTCCTGGGCCAGCACCAACCATGGCTGGAGGCAACGGGTGGATTCATTCTCCCTCCTGAGGCCTCCTGCCCCACGGGGAAGCTTGTGCTGTGTGTTGGGCTCGCGGGACAGACGAGGGATCCCGCTGGTATACCACCCATGCTGCCGCTAACCAGCAGTCTCCCCGCCTGAGCTGACGGAGACCAAGAAATCTGAGCAAGAATGAGGTTCAGAAGAGCAGCAACGAGGGAACTAGAAAAGGTCTGCAAGCGGAAGATGCTCCGCCAGACATCAAGGCCAAGATCATCTGAATGACTGTACGATCAATCACAGTCAATGGGTGTGAAATCTGGAAGGAAGAAAATCAATGTGCTTCAAACATGGAGCTAGAGGAGAGCCTTGTGAATACCTGCGCCGGTCGAAGGAGGGACAAAGGGGTCCCAGATCCAGTCAAGCAGAGCTTCTCCTGGAAGCAAAACCGAGGCTGTGGTACTTTGGGCACATCATAAGGTGGCAAGACTCCCTGGAGAAGAGCACCACGCCAGGGAAGGTCCCCCTTTCACGCCTCCCGAGGCGGCACTGCAAGAGCATCAGGGAAGCAGGACATGGCCAGCTGCTTCTGGGACATTCCTGGTAGGAGGAGGCCCCCAAGTGATTGTGAGCAGAATTTCTGCTTGAGGGCCCCTGCAGAGACCAAGGCGGCTGTGAAGTCCACACAGCGGGAGTCTGGGGCTTCACGCCGCCCACAGGCCACAGGCCGTGCGCCCCTGCTGGGAAAAGACAGGGCAGCCCAGAGTCTCATGGCTGCAAAAGCTGCCCTAAGGGGTATCAGTGCAGGAGGCCAGGACTTGGCCCAAAGCCACCCAAATGGTTCCTCACACCATCCGTGGTCCACCAGCCTGGCACTGCAGCCAGGCCGGAAGTTA